CGTTGGCCAACAAACTTAATTCCTCTTTATAATGGACGGTAGTAGTTTGAGAGTATGTGGAGTGCATAGAATTTGGCGATTGTGAGTATTGTGTGTGTGAGTATTGTGTGTGTGTGGGGGGGGTTGTGTGTGAGGGTCTGTATGTGAGTGTTTGAATGTGAATCGACCACCTTTATCAATGACACAGCATCCTGTTTCCGGCTATATTTTGCCTTGATCGTTTCCTGAGTCTGTATAAGAGGCGCTTTCTCTCCTTGGCTATCCGTGTGACTATTCTGCCTGAAAAAAACATGTTTTTGATATGTTGGTTTCTCAAAAACCAGAAATAACAGCTTGTTTGTTTCAAAGTGTAAGGTTATTACTTATTTACCGAGTTCTGATCTATATGTTAAGGTATAAAATGTTTCCGTAATAAGGACATATGACAGAGTTCCCAAGTGAAACTACGTGTTAAAAATTGTTTATTAATAATGAACAAAAACTGAGAGAAAAAGTAAGTTCTGATACATACTTACAGTTATTAACGGGTTACGAAGAAGCTCGTTAATACTCAATTTACAACCAATAACGGCAGTTCTACAAACACACAATCACTGACCACCCCCCCCCCCCAAACCAGGGCAGTTATACTGACTGAAGTGTCTTTAGGCCATTCCCATAGGGGGGATATTATCATGTTCTCATACACAGTAAAATTGTAAATGGGCTGATTCATCAATGTTATGCATACTGTGCCGGAACAACATAGGCGGAACTACTGCTTTTTCTTTTCTCATCCCTACTATCGTCTGTTTTACTCAACTTCTTTTGTATGTTTGTCACTCTCTTGTGAACTGCAATTTCCGGGGTGCCTTGGTCGTCGAAGCAGACTTTGTGCTGCTGAGACTAGAGAGGTGAGCAGAATAAGCCTGGTTCCTCGTTTGGACTTCCTGTTGACATTCACTCCTTGGCGCTTATATTATGATCTTATGCCGTTGCGAGCGCTATAAAACCTTACTAAAACTAAAAACACGCAATTGGCAGTCTTTTTAGTACAACGGATAACGTATTTCCAGACCTGGAATTCTCTTCTTCTCCCTTTTTGTCGATATTTTGTTTCCGGTCTACAGTCTTCAGCTCTTGTACGGTGGAATTTTTGTTTCCTTGTTATAGATACTGGAACATATCCCAAATCGAAGAATCCTTAATAGACTTACCAACAGGGAAGTAGTAGTAGACCTCAGTGCGAATGACACTGAAGCAAATAAAAATCATGCAGTTTCTTAGAGTAAGATACGAATCAAGTTTCCATTCGGGTAGTTCCTAAAGTTAAACGTCTGTTTCCCTAGTTTGAATGAAACGCTTACTTTTATGACAAGTCAAGAATTAGAATAATTATATAGTGAAGCTATACCCAACTGCTAAAGGTGCCGGTTTTTTAAAAATATTATGCTCTTTAAAACAGTCCAAAGCTAAAAAAAACTTTTATTTCCGCGGCTCTCTTTCGCGTGACAAACTTGACTGTTTCCATATGATATCATTACCGTTTTGTTTGTCTACATTTTTCCCAGACTCTCAAGAACTGTCGGCTGACTCTCTCACAAAAATCTTCAGGGTGAAGAGGGTAGACCTCGCTTTTGTCCAGTGCTGCTCTGTACCCTTTGATCATAAACCTATTGAGATAAAATCATCAGGTCATTAGACAAAGAGAAGTCTGGAGCCGGTGTTGTGTGTTTGACTGTACAGATGTATGTTTACCTTTCCACAAACCGACGATTAAGGTCGCTGTTAGGGTCTGTGCCATCCTTCCACGCAAAGAACGTGAGTTCAATTTCCACATAAGGAAGACATATATTTCTTATCGAATATCCTTCCCTTTTTCTGAGAAGTGTTTCACACGCTGTGTTCAGGCATTAAAAGACAAGGCCGATGGAACACGATTAGTAAAGCTTAAACTATGTTGATATACAACATGTTTACAACATTAATAACAGCCTACAAAACAATAATTTTTAAGCCGGGGAACTGGTCCAATTGTTAGAATAGACAGACAAGAAAAGAAAGGGTAGATTTGCATATCTGAAGACCACAGACATTCTTGCCTGATATTTCACCTTACAAACACATTGTTTCAAGACACACTGGAATCAGGAGCTCGTCAGTTTTTGAGCACATAGAGTTATTAGTGTAATCTTAAAGCCTGTTCATTTGCCTTGCTTTTAAAGAAAGAAACATACCCATCTATCGTGAATAGAAGTCGATATAATAGCAATTAAAAGAGGATTGGATCGCCCGATATCAGAGGCAAAATTATCGAGAGAATATAGGAGCCTAAATTTGGCGATTTTTATAGCTTGAGTGACTCTTGAAACTATAAAATTACTTCTTTTTGTACCTTTCATTGACATTTTTCGGTAAAATCATTCTTTATTCTCAACTTACGATTCAAACCAGGCGAAGGTTAACCAAGAGAGTATGCCAGCCTTCACTTCAGGATTTTGACCCTGCAATAACAATGTTTTAAAAGACTTATGAGAGATATAAGATGGACAAAATAAGCAAAGAAAGAAAGAGAGATATACAGACAGAAGAGAAGGGCGAAAATAAGAGGAAAAAATATACCAAGACAGAAAGAAATGATCAAATACCAGAAGAATAAGACCAGGGAAATAAACAGAGAGAGGACTATAAACAAAAGAAAAGCAGAGAGAAAGAAAGAGCAAGAAGACCAATGTGATTACAGTTTTGTTATTGGTGGGCTAAATATAGCTGAAAATCCCTAAGGTATGTTCAGGTGGCTTGGAACAATCGCCAGGGTAAGGAAGATGGATGGGGAAGGAAGCACAGACGATACAACAAAGTAAAATCCCATATGTTGCTCTTTGACCTGGTGTCCAGTTATGTCTCATTCAACTATTACATAAGTTATATCTAGGGTTGCCAGGCCACGTTTTTACGAACCATCTCTCCCTCACTCTCTTCCCTCCTCCCTCATTCCACCTTTCCACCCTCCCCCCCCCCCTCCAAAAAAAAAAACCTGGTCTCCCTGAGCATCTGCATACTGGAGTAAGGTGGGCGCTTGTGCCAGGTGCCCATTGATATGATCGGATTGGGTCGTATCGGGTCGATTAATGGCTGCTTCAGGCCCTTCCCTGGTTGTAACAAGTTTGACAAGAATAGGAAACTCTGACAGGCTTGCAGTTATATTGTACACAAGATTTATCGTTCACAAAACATCCTTTTTCTTTAACTATGGCTTAAAGTGCCGACTGCCGCATATCTCAGTTGCTGTGCTGAGAGGTTCTTAAATCCTACGGTCATGAAAAATGTTGATAACTTTTTAGGCACATCAGTATCAGCCTCTCCAAATCAACACAGTCCATTGCTGCATTCCGCAGGGGGGAAAAACATGACCCTGACCTTGTGACTCGTAGGCCACAATTATTAGGCTACAAGCCTTGTGATTGGTTGTTCACATCTGACAGCTATTCCCAGTTCAACTCGCGCCTTTGAAAAACCAAACGCGTTTGATTTTGAAGGTCACTGACGAATTCAGTCGAATTCTGTCAAATTGTGCTAAAATGATTGCTTTTGCCCCTCCATGAAAGAAAATCTGGCCCGACTGAATCACCTGAATCAAATTGGTAGTGTGCATTGGAGATGATCATTGGATTGTTTCGAGTTGATTAACAGCTGTACCAGTTCACACTTTATCAAACTGGTCTGTGCTTTGCTTCATTAAGCTTGACCAGGAAGCGCATCGCCTTCCCCCAGCAAACAACAGATCCAACCATGCAATGCTTATTAGCCTTTTCAACAATTGTTGAAACGTGCTGGGGAAATCAAATATGTTTAATTTTGAAAGATTTGATTAAATTGTGCCAAAATAGTAGTCTTTAAACAAGTTATAAAGAAAAATCTGCCCACTATCAAATTTATTAAACGTACCAAATGTATCGCATAGAGATTTGCGAAACTTGGAACTGTAGAGTGCACTGGGTAAAACTATACCTTGTATGAAGAACCCGACATGTCAGCCCAGCAGGACAAAATAAACATAGCTAGAGATGCGAGTGACGTCAGCAGAAGGACGGAGAACTCTGTCTTGTCGTTTACAGACGTCTGAAGAGAGAAAATCTTCAAATAAGTGAGAAAATCGCATGGCTGTTGTTGTTATTGTTGATGTTGTTGTCATTGTTGTTATTGTTGTTGTCATTGTTGCTAGTGCCATTATGGGTGTTGTTGTTGATGATGTTGTTGCTGTTGGTGTTGTTAGTAGCATCGGGGTTTTTGTGGGGGGGGGGGGGGGGGTGAGGGTGGGGGTGTTATTGTTGTTGCTGTATTGTTGTTGTTGTTAAATTGTAGTTGCTACTGTTGCTGTTGTAGTTGCTGCCCTTTTAGTTGTCGTTGTTATTGTTCTGTTGCTGTTGATGCTCTTGCTGTTGCAGTAGTTGTTATTGTGGGTGCTCTTGGTTGTTGGGTTTGGTTTTTGGAGGGGGGGGGTATATCCGAATAGGTTTTGTTGCTGCTGTGGTCGCTATTTGTGATGGCCCATTATTATTCATATTATGGATTTATTATCGTCTTTATCACCGTAATCAAACCGAAAGGCCTATGCCCCGAACCCATTTATTTCATTGACAGGAATCCCTTTTGCCTCTTTGGTTGTTCTAAGGGTGGAGAGGGGTCAGAATTTTTGTAGAAAACGTAGTAATGAAAAGACAAACTACACGAGAAAATTAAATTGTATAATGTCAGTTCAAGATTTAAATTAGATGTTGACTTTGGGGTAGTGGTTCTCTTTGGTTTTATGTCTTTCTTTTTCATCTAACAACTGCTCTAAATTTTCCAGTTTTACTGCTGCAGCGGTTAGACACTTTGCCGTAGCAGGCACACGACATGAATTCGATTTCCCGACGGGGAGATTTTTTAAATTGTTGTTGTTATTGAGTACGTGAGCCTAAGTCTGCCTGCCGGGACACGTACGGTATCTTTCTCAACCCAGGTTGGTCCTTCCAGGCAGGGTCGAGGCATTTTGCCCCCTTATTAATCAAAATTGTGTCGATGAAGTAATAAAACGTCCTCAATTACATTTTTTACATTTTTTTCTGGCTGTAATCTTCTGAAGTTCGATTTTTAAAAATCATGTTGCGAGTGATATTCTAAAAATGAATCATTCATCTATACCTACTGTTTACATTTCAATCCCTGACTCACCTCCAGCATTATGGCTGTATAGCAGGAAACGATAGACTGAAGGACAGCCAACAACCAGAAGACAAACAGAACCGGTGATGTCACTTTTACGCGCCATTTTTCCAAGACCACAAGAAGTGTATGTGTCATCTGAAAGTGAAAGTATAACAGCCGTTCCTAATCACAAAGAAAGTTGAACACAATGCCATAACTTTGATAAATGGATCCTTTTATTAGTCACCTTTTTTGTTAGTGGACAACAGTTATGAGCCGTAAACAGTGCGTAAAACATTATCAAGTAATGTTTACAATAGGACAAAAAAACACCCAAAATTTGGGGATGTCGATATCTCCATAAAAATGGAGAATGAACGTTGAAAAGCAATGTATCGCTATAATTAGCCAAGCATGACATGAATCACACGCTAGCAAACTTAATGTGTCACCACAAAAACATACGATAAACTTTTCGTCAATAGAAATAACAAATTACGAGAAGGAAGACAAAAAGAAGAGCAAGAAGTGCAAGTAAAAAAATGAGGATGGCTACACATTTTTCTTTTAAGGGACACTAGGTACAGCTGAACTGAAAATTTTTGTTTGGGCTCTAAATTAAGTATTCTGGGATTCCCAATAACCAACATGGGTCAAGAAACAGAATCATATTATCCCTGTATGATTTCCCTATCAATTTTCTGAATTCTTGAGATGCAATGGGTTCGACAGACCAAAATTGGCTCAAATTCTACGCGGGGATTGTG